TCATTCTCTCTGTAGAGTCGCCCGGCTCTCTGATGAGGATGGAAAAGCTGCTGAGCCATTTCTATGATGACGATGGTCATGAGCCTTTCTTAGGCAAAGTGTGGCCTATTTTTCATGAGCATGGCATTGCCGCCCTCTTGTTCGCCAGGTGAGCTCAAACGCATGCTCGAGTCGTGTTGACAGCACAGCCGCGCTGACAGCGCCACATCTCTTCATCATTCTCCATGCCGCCCCCTCGCTCCTTCTTCCAGTGAGGACTACTGCGCGGCTAGCGGCATTCAGAGGAGCCGCTCCAGAAAGGAATTGCTGTTTCCCAGAGCGCACATGGCCACAATCGCAAAGGCGCACGGCCTCTCAGCGATCGTGAGTTTCCAAGATGGACTCCTCTTCTCTCGTAGCAGTCCTCCTTCCTCATCATCTGACATGCCTCTTTACTCCCCCTGTCACGTGGCCCGCGGTGCGCTCGCCAGGATATGTGAGGGGCGCACAAGAAGGATGTTGCAACGCAAGCCAGTCTCTGACGCTTGCTTTCACGCCTCCATAGGGTGTGCATCGACTACAAAGACGACGAGTATCTTCGCGAGGAATCGTTGGAAGGCCGTTCGATCGGCATGGACGGTAAGCAAGCTATTCATCCCTCTCAGGTCAAGGCCATTCAGAAAGCATATCTACCAAGCGAAGAGGGTGAGCCGTCGATCAGCCGTGTCATTAGTCCAGTCCGCATCGTCTGCCAGCTGCTCAAAGCATTTCTTCGCCACAGATATCGAACGTGCCACGCGCATCCAGGAGGCTTATGAGTCGTCCATCGCAGCAGGCGCGGGCGCAGTGGGTCTGAAAGAGAAAGACGGGTCCACCATCATGATTGACACTCCCATGCTCTTGCAAGCACGAACGACCCTTCGCAAGGCACGTGCAGCAGGTCTCAATGTGCCTGATCCTGACGCTTAGTGTGCTCTTTGGGTATTCTGCGTCCACGATTCCTAGGCAGCCTGAAGAGCTTGCAGCTCGTCTGGCCTGCGGCTGAACCCTCTCCTCTGCTCTTGCTTCGGGGGTATGGAAAGACGCGTCGCGCAATGCTTTGTACAATCTTATACTTTTGCCGTACCAACACATCCATGTTCAAGGCGGATTTGGCAAAACCATCACATCGCTCGCTCGCACTCAACTTGTTGCCACCTCGTTCAGATTCAAGGCTGCAGTACGTCCGCTATCCTTGACATCTGGGCCAGCCACCTTGCGTTGAGCATGCTTGGTTTTGACACACTCGCGCCTACAATCCATGCGGTTTGTGATCGCCTTCTGCTGCTGCACGACCTGGACCCAGCCTCTGCTCACGGTTGAATCCGTAGTGCTTCTTCTCCAAGGTTCGAGCCAAGCATTTGAGCAGCACTTGATCGTCTAGCTTCTCGTGGCCATGGAAGTGGCCATAAGAGCTGCCATTTGCACAAAGCTCCTTGATGCTCTCTTTGATCACGTCCTGGTTGTAGGTTAAACGCGGTGAGCTCGCCATGTCGAATCGAAGCATTTTCTCACCCAGTTCTCCATCCCTCTCTGGCAAAGGGCTTGGCCATGATCGGACGCAATGAGCGCCACGCAAACTGGATGACGTTGCAATGACGCTCAGCATCTGCAGCTGCTAGACAAGATGAAATGCCTGGAGGAGCAAGTGCCAAATCTGGAAGCAGATAGGTCTGCGCTTGAAGCTAGGGTGGAGAACTTGGAGAATGCCTTACGCAACTCCAGCGCGCTCAAAGCTACGGTGAAGAGCTTGGAGAACGCCTTACGCAAATCCAGGCTGCACAACCGCAATCTGCGGCAGGAAAACATGAAGTTGCGGTCCAACAATGCTGGTCAGTGTTTCAAGCTGAGATAGTGTGCTCTATCGAATGAAAGAATCGCTGACGAAACTGGTATGCCTTTCGAAGACGAAAAAGACGAATAAGCACTCTCCGGGGCAGCGCGTCATGGAGTACGGCTATGCGGCTTATTTTGTACCAGCTCTTTCTGCTGCGACTCGGAGACAGGTCTGCGTCGCACACGACATGCGCGCTCGGCGCTCCTCCAGCTGGCATCAGTCATTTTGTTTGCCAAAGACTAAGCGCGTGATACATAAGACATTCTTCGCTGTTTCTGACGGCCTCGTTTGACACTTCCTCAGAAAAGACTTGCATTGTCCCCGTCACGTTAGAGATGCAAAGCTTTTCCTGATGTAAAGGTACGCGCAAAGGGTTCTCGGAGAAAGTTTGGACGTCGCGAGGCAATGTAGAAAAGCTGCTATCTTTGCTATTGCTCTCATTCCTTCAGAACATCGCATGCGGCTGGCTTATACAGGGTCAGGAGCTACTAAGTGTCAACATCGGAAGCATTATTGCATCGAGAGAGCCGGTTCTAGCGTGCTTTTTTTTCCGCAAAGATGACGGGCAGCAGGAACAACACTGCGAAATCAAGATTTGCAACAACGTAAGCAAGAGCTACAAATTATAACCCTTTCGTAACACACAACTCTGTCATCATAAGGGAGAAAAAGCGGGCAAACAGCCAGAATCAACAAGAGAAACTGAGGTTGAATGCTCAAGGCAGGACGCAAAGAAGCGCGACGCACTTAGGAATGTGAACAAGCAAAAGAAAAGAGAAGAAAATCGACGATGACCCTCAATACGAGGCTCAAGCTACATTGTATCAAATGAACAAGGTAGCTTCGAGGGCGGTGTCAG